ATTTTGGGATCTTAATGTCCTGCCAGCCCTCAGCCCCTTACTTCCTGTCTTCAGGTATCACAGAATCTCGGTCAGTCTTTCAGCAATAGGCATCTTACTGCAGAGCTCTCTCCTCTTTGGTCCCCAGGCCCAGACTGACCACTCTGGCTTATATGCTGCTCAAACCCTGCCTACCTCCAGCTCAGGTGACTTGCTAGCCCTGGCACAGCTACCTCTCTCTCATTTTAATGGGTAGCTAGCTGTTGCTATCCTGGCTACTATAGCAGTGCCTCTGTTGCTTCAGCAGTACTCTGCCCCGTTGTACTATTCCTTTGCAACTTGTACAGCAATAGGTACTTTCAGCTTCTGGACTCTGAGTGCCTATCCCTTTGCAGCTAGCCCTTATTTGTCTGCCTGAGCACTGTTTGCTAGTGTCTTTCCCTCTGTAAGTAACAGACGCTGTTGGCTCACTGTTAAACAGCCCTAAACGGGGTGGAAAAGGGCCCTCATTTCCCAGCTGGTTTTCCAACCAGACCTTTCCACAGGATTAGCAGTAGCACACCCAGAAATGGGGAAGGGGGTACAGCCCTGCACTTTGGTGGTGCTGTAGATGCATGGTGACCCCAGAGCTCACTGCTCATGCAGAGCTCTGGCAGGAGCCCGCGTTGAGCAGGCAGTGAGCTCAGAGCTCACCATGCATGTGCAGCACCACCAAAGTGCAGGGCTGCACCCCCCTCCCCATTCCTGGGTGTGCTACTGCTTCTTCCTCACCTACCAGTGTTGGTGTCATGAGGCAGCAGCTCCTCATCAGCCGGAGGGTGACCCCATAGACATCCACGCTCCGCTCCACTTTCAGCTGATGCAACAGGCTGTCCAGGGCGATCAGCGTCCCCATCTGGCCCACGCCACTGCTGGAATGGGCAGCCACCAGAAGGAGATGTTAGCTCTTCCATCCTTGTCACCCTCCAACACCTCCCAGTCTATTGAAATCATTGAGCTACTAGGGCACATCTGCCTGACTTGGTGGCAGTTACAAGGCCTGTCTGGTCATGGAGCTCATTTCCCTGAAAAGGCAGGGTATGGAGCCCAAGGAGAGATGGTAATTTGAACATTAAGAGGTGCTATGCCAGAAGGACCAGAGCCTGACCTGAGCTCAGGCAACCAGAGCATTGCAGTCAATGCTAGCCAATGTCCCAAGGAAGGACAGGACTGCAAGTCAACGGTGGGCTGGGTACATGGGACCCGAGCTTCTGACCTGCTGAGAAAGAAGCTGAGTCATGAAAACGTGGTCCAGAGGCCAGGGCAAGCCATGCTGCCCAGCTTGGACTGTGCCAAATCAACCTGGTCCCCTCACCGCCCCCAGAACTGCCACCCCTGCTCCCCAAGACAGCCCCATGTGCGGGTCAGCACCATGGCCCCCGCCTGGCCCCTGAGCCACTCCGCAGGCCTGGTGAGCACAGCCAAGCCCTCTGCTCCCCTCCCCTCCCTTCACGCTCGCCCACAACCCCTGTCCCCACCACGCTGCATCCCCCAGAGCCCTGAAGGGCACATTCCCCTGCCAAGAAAAAAGTCCAGTGTGGGGGACACACGACTGTACCTGCAGTGCAGGAGCAGAGGACCAGCTCTCTTCCTGTGGGGCGTGTGGCGTCTGACGGCAGCAAGGAACTCCACCAGGGCACGGGCGTCCGGCTGCTGCTTGCGCCCCCATAGTGGGTACAGGAATCGCTGCACCTGCCTCTCCTTCACTTTCTTTTCCTGACAAGGCACAGAAAGCTGCCACAGTCATTGAGGAACAGGGCACGCAGGGCAGCCAAATGTAGTGCAGCCATGGGGCAAGTCCAGGCTCTGCAGTCTCTGGCTGCCAAGTACCCCACTGAGGGGAAGCAGTAGATCCTGGACTGCCCCATGCCATGCAGTCTCGTACGCTGAGCCAGTAGTGCCTGCTGGGGCAGAGCCCACCCAGTTCCCCGATGCAGACACAGTGCAGTGACAGCAGGCAGAAGGACAGGGGAAGCGTCACTGAGTCAGGGCTGTTCTCTCAGTCAATGACTCTGCTCTGCCCCAAGCCAGCACTGGCTTAAAACTGCAAGCCGTAGCCTACGTGCAATAAGTCAGCACCACTCAGGTGATCACATTTCCCACAACAAGTTCACACTGGCCCCCAGGAGAAAAAGCAGGCACTGAATGGGCTGCAGAAACTGGAAGTGGAAACCTGGGCAGATGGCACCCAGAAGAGGAGGGGAGTGTGTGTGTCTACAGGGAATTAAGTCTCCCTCGCCTTTTTCCAGTCACATGCTGCATATGTTCTGTGGACGTCTGGCTGGACAGCACAGCCCTCACCATCTCAGCTCCCCCCAGTCTCTGCTGGTGCACTTTGGCATTCCTGCCACGCTGCCCCTCTGCTATTCCCACCCCATCTCCCACCCATGCTGATCACCTTCATGCCACTACCTCTTTTCATTCCTGTCATGAGCTGCAACTCTGGCATGGTCTATGCGCAGCAAGGAATGTCTCCTGGGGCCTAGGTGGAGCTCATAGTACCAGAGACCCACGTACGTGTTTCAGCTTGAGCTGGATGCACCTCCATCCCGAGATGTGCTTCTCCGTGCCGCGCTGGATGGTCAGCATCTCAGTGCAGACTGGGTCACCGTCCAGGGGCCAGCATACCTCGCTTGGGACCTGCACACAAGGGTGACTGGTGCTGAAAGCTCTGGAGGGCCTCACTGTAGATCAATGTCCTGCTTGGGTTTCAGTGGGGGGTGGCACTTAGATTGGGCTAAACACACAGCCACCATCAGGGAGATTCTGCCCATCAAAGAGCCACATGACCATCTTGCTGGAAGCATCTGGCCTACAGGTATTTTTGAACTACTGTTGCAGATTTCAGCTCCCTTTGCCCTTATTATGGGGCTGCTTCCAATCAGACTATAGGTCCCTGTTCATGCAGGGGCATACAGGCTGAGTGGCCACACCTCCCATGTGAAGAGTGATGGGCAACTACAGCCCTCTAAGTTTTATGCACACTCCTCATGTTCTCTGGCCTTCTGGGACCCCTCTGTATGCCCACCAAGAGTGGTGGCAGCTGGGGTCCTGGACTGTGCTCTCTCTTAGGGGAACAGAGGTCTCTGGAGAGACACCAGCCTGTACTGCTGCCCACTGTAGAATCAGAGGCCTCTTTGTGGGACAGATGCTTTAAGATCATAGGGACATTGGGCTGGAAGAGACCTCACAAGGTCTTCTAGTTCAGCCCCCTGCTCAAGGGAGGATCATCCTTGACTAAATCATTCCCACCAAGTGTCTGTCCAAACTTCCTTTGAAAATTTCCAGGGATGGAGATTCTACAGCTTCTCTAGGCAGCCTGTTCCAACGCTCGACCACCCT